GGATCACTTGAGCCCAGGAGTTCGAGACCAGCCTGGGCCACATGGTGAGATGACCCCCGTCTCTACAAAAAAAAAAAAAGAAAGAAAGAAAATATGCAATGCTAAGTAAACTGTGCCAAGTGTATCTCATCCCTTACATCAGATAAGGTAATAGTCTGGAGTGGTAGGGAAGGAATCTCCATTAGGTGTGCTGAGAGACGGGGAGTTTCACCTTTTCCTTCAGTACCAGCTAGAGAATTCTATTAATATACATAGAGGAATGGTGTGGTCCAGTGAAGAAATTTTGTATTCTTGGTCAGCTCATCAGCTGCCACCTTTCATGCTTAATATTGAACTGCTGTCATTTTCTCAAAGCTTTTAAAAATCATTTATGCTTCCTCAACTCTGTAGCACAGCAACGCTAAATATCAGGCATAATGTCCGTAGCAAACGGCACTTGGAACAAAATAGCAAGTATGCTTTGGTGACTCAGAGCTGATCAGAAATCTACTGAAATTTTGTCTCCCAGATTTGTCAAGTTCTCTAATATGGTACTACAAAACTTTGGCTAAAGTACTTTGGGGAATGAGGGGGTGAAGGATGCAGCAGGCTGTCTTCAGGTAGCAGGACAGAGAGGATAGTGATGCAAAGAAGCCTTGAATTGGATCAGACCTTCATGTGCAATTATCTGTTCCATCTCTGTCTCTACAAGTTGTGTGACCTTGGGCTTCAGGGTCCTTATCTGTCAAAAGGAGGAAATAACTTATTTCTAACTCCTCCAATCTCATAGTGTTGATGTAATGATCAAATGAGATAATGGCTGAGAAAGTGCATTGGAAAGACTAAAAGTGAAAGTGAGGTGTTTTAAATTGACATTATTACACACCTATTAAGTGCCTTGGGAGAGACACAAAGATAAATATGACCCAGTCCTTGCCCCAAAGACGTTCATAATCTGAAAGATAAGACATATGCACATGAAAAAGCAAATAATACAAGGCAGCAAATAGGTGTCAAAAGAGCGGTTTAGATTACAAATACTAGAGAAACATGAAGAAGGTACAGAATTCTTTCTGCAGAAATAGGATAGGATAGATGAAATAAATCTTACTTTCATTGTGCCTGAAAGGACAGAGAAAATTTGGATCATTTAGAATGAAGGAAACATCCCAGGAAATGGAAGCAGAGACAAGGAGAGTATAAACTGCATTCTAGGTCCAAGAGGAGATAGGACCAACTGAAGTGAAGGATTTTATAGGCCAGCTCTACATAAGACTAGAAAGTTAAGCCTATACTCCATCTTGGCAGTTAAAAATGCAGCAAAAGTTCGGGCGCAGTGGCTCACGCCTGTAATCCCAGCACTTTGGGAGGCCAAGGCGGGCGGATCACGAGGTCAGGATATAGAGACCATCCTGGCTAACACAGTGAAAGCCCGTCTCTACTAAAAA